GCAGCCGATGATCTTCTGGGCCATATTGACCATTCTCTGCAGTGCCTTTCTTTCTCGCGAAGAGGTGTTGCCATACCACACGGTGATCCCGTTGGTGAGGACATAATTAACATAATTACAGTTGCAGTCTTTTCTACTAAAATAATCCACTAAGAATCACACACATTTATAATTCTATATCTTCCACTGACTCACAATGTCACATTATGTTTTATGTACTATTCCAAACTCCACTGCAAGGGGAATAATAGACCCTAAACGAGTGCTCCCGGTAGTTTTAGATGCAAAAGAAGATGGTAGCTGGTTTCTAACAAACTTAAATTAGATAGTGGCCACGTTGCCATATCATCTGTTTGTCAGGAGGTATTGCATTTTTGAGTCAAATCTCTCACATTTTGTTTCCAAATCAGAAATGTCCAGGCAAACAAAACCTCTATACCAAAACACCATCAATAATCCAGTGAAATTAATGAATTAAGGAACTACAACAGTAAGACCTACTACAGAAGTGAGAGTTCAGTAAATGTTTTGCCTAATTTATTTATCTATTTTATTTTCTGAAACCCTGTTGCGATCATGCATGTACAGTACACACATACATACTTGTATTTCAGCACCTACTGCCATTTGACTACCTCTGCATATTCCAAAGCTCAGTTTTGGATGTTTTTTTAACTCTGTAAAATGTGGCGTTATGAAAGCCCGATAGATCATGAATTGATCATGAATTGACAATCAACTCCGGTTTGATACGAACAGGAAATAATCCGCGAGAGTGCAATGTCTGCTTATTGTGTGCAAGTCAAACTGACTCCGGAACCAACACTTTTAACTTTTAACTTTTAACTCATAACTTATATAACTTCCAAGCTGCCGACAACCCTGCAAAAACAACCTATTAACCAACATGCCCCTTAGCCTTAGTAGTCGGGCACAATTATACACACTGGTAGATCAGCTCAATTATTGTATCACAAATTGTGACCTTCTGCATCAGGGATTGAAAGGTTATGCGGACCACTTATCTTTAATTATATAACAACTTTAATTTATCTTCCCATTGGCAGAGTTGGATTTAATAACCTTAGTACAGTTGCGTGCAGAGTGGTAGTTAAACGCTTCCTTTTGATCATGATTTTTATTGTTGTTAATGTTATCAAGAGACTTACAAATTAAACATGCCTTTGTCTTCAAAAAGAAAGAGAACTCAAATCATGTCGTACAGTAGGCATTTAGCAAAGTGCTCTTAACGAATACAGTGTTCGCTGCAAATCCATGCTGACGCATAAAACAAGAAAAATAAGTAAGAAACAAGGGTATTTAACATGGGGTACAAAAATAGACATTTTTTCTGAGTATTTCTTACCTTAGCAGCCACACGTCAGTATGTTGTCTGTATTTGTTCGCCACCTTGCGGTGATGATAGGAGCCTCTAGGAAGTTTTGATGCTATTCAACGTGTGAAGCCTAATTTCTGATTTCACAGAAAAATATACGCTGAATGGATTATTATAATAAACCCCCTTAAAGATTCTTAAAGGGGACAGCAACGGTCAGCTGCATATTTGTGACTGGATATTGCAACTAGAAAAAAAAAAGTATTACGGTAGTTAATGTTTCCGAACACGACGAACAGAGCAACTGGTCGCCCGCCTGCAAAGCTTGTAGGAGGTCAGGAGTTTTCAGGAAAGTGCGGGGATTAAGCGAGGCCTTGTTTTTTAAGGTATATTTTG